GGAGGTGGGTCCCTGTGCCATCAGGACACAGGTCCTTCCTGGTAGAAGGGGAGGGTCTGCCTCAGATTCCAGTGGAAGAAAGAATTTGAGGGATGAGCTCAGTGCCTTGGGAGGAGAGAGAAAGGGGGCAGGGAGATTCTGATGGGGAGGGTGTGTCCCTAGGTCAGAGACCTGGGCCCTCCCTGCTCTAGAAGGAGCTCACCTTTCCCTGCCTGTTCCCATAGAGCACGAGCACTGCTGGGACACCTTCGTGGACAAGGACAACGCAAGGCTCTGGCCCAGGACTGATGTGGAAGTACACATAAGAGACCAGTGTCAGATACTGGAGAGCATCCCGCTCTGTGCTCAGGGTGCTGACACACACAGGGAACACTGTCCTCAAGGGTTGTGCTTCCTGGATTTTAACAATCGCCGGAAACCCCAACCTCGTGCAGAGTTGTGCTTCCTGGCTCTGTTCCAGCCTGGGCAACTGGATAGGACGAATCATTACAGACTCACCTGGTACATCTCCTTGAGCCCCTGCCCTGACTGTGTGCCAAAACTGGTTGACTTCCTGGGCGAGAACAGACACGTGCAGCTGCGCATCTTCGCTGCTTACCTAAATACCAAACTCATGGATGAGGGGAAGCAGTACAGACTCACCTGCTACATCTCCTGGAGCCCCTGCCCTGACTGTGCCCAGAAACTGGTGGAATTCCTGGATGAGAACAGACACGTGAGCCTGCACATGTTCCCTGCTGGCATCCAAACCAGATTCCCTGGATATGAGGATGGGCTGCGAGACCTGCGGGACGCTGGGGCCGAACTTGCCATCATGACCCTCACAGGTCAGCAGGGACTCCTGAGGGTGGGAGGTGGGCGGGCAGAGAGGCTGGGAAATGGCTACACAGAGGGGGCAGGAGGAGAATCCAGGTGGGGAAGCCTGTCAGCTGCCTGCAGGGGGGCTGCTGGGTCTGGAGAGGATGGAGTGCCCTGGAGGAGAGAGTTCAGGGGAGAGGGGGTCTTGGGAAGGGGGGAGGTGGGTCCCTGTGCCATCAGGACCCAGGCCTTCCTGGTAGAAGGGGAGGGGCTGCCTCAGATTCCAGTGGAAGGAAGAATTTGAGGGATGAGCTCAGTGCCTTGGGAGGAGGGAGAAAGGGGGCAGGGAGATTCTGATGGGGAGGATGTGTCCCTAGAGTCAGAGACTTGGACCCTCCCCGCTCTAGAAGGAGCTCACCTTTCCCTCCCTGTTCCCATAGAGCACCAGCACTGCTGGGAAAAATTCGTGGACCACCCTAGGCGGATGCTGCCTTTGAAGCCTAAGACTGAACTGGAAGAAAAATTACAGAAGCTGAAGGACATTCTCAGGTTCCTCCTCCTTCTCCCCGCCACCCCACCTCTGTCGTCCCCCCTCCCCTTCTCTCCCTGGGCCTGTCTCTCCCTCTGGGTCACCTGCTCCCTCCTGGGCCCCAGCTCCATCCCTCCCCTCAGGTCCCCCCTTTGTGACTCCCCCAGACTCTGCTCTGTTCACCTCCTCACCTGCCTCACTCCCTGCTTCCTCCAACTTCTCCTTTTCAATTCAAAATCAGGGACTGAAGGATGAACTTCCATCTCTCTAAACAGTCGGGGGTCTTCTGGTGAAGGAGGAATAAAACACTTTCTTCAAGGAATGAAAACGCATCACCTGCTGCATCTCCAACTTCATTCACAGAATCCAGTAAAAAGCAACGAATGGGCTCATAAGGAATTTTTTAAAAGTCTGATTGATTTACTTTTCATTTAAATTCTATGATGTGTTCCAAATACACACCGGTAACATTCTATTCGTTACTATCAGAATCATTTTTATATTTAGAAAATTAATTATTTACATTGATTTGAAGTCCAAAGCAATAACATGAAAGATTAAGACTCTTCCACAAAATGTGTTTTCCTCTGTAAGTGATTCATAAAGTCCAAACAGTTCAATAAACACCTGCAGAAGTGAAAATGCCTTTCTCTTCCATAGGTACCCCATGGGAGGGCAGTGGTCACACTAATTGCCACTGGCCACATAAAGTCAGTAATATTTATAGGAGCAGAAGCTCAAACCCAAAAGCCTAAATGCATCGACCAAAGATGTGCTGAGAGTAGTGCTGTATTGAAATGACAGCCCATGCAATAGGAGAAGAGAAAGGCTCAGGGTCACTATTGGGAAGAGCAATTGAAGTGGACATTGGCTGAGGGGAGGGCTGGGGATTACTGTGTCCTCAGGCCTTTCCTATTCCACTCCCTGGAGAGGATGCTGGAGGGAGGGGCTTCCCTGCAGACAGGATCCCTCTGCCCTTCCCAGGACCTGGCCCAGGCAGGATGCAGTGCAGGCAGCAGCTGTCTGTCCTTCCGTGTCTCTGTGGAGCCTGAATCATGCTGAGCGAGCCCCTGGCAGCTGGGCATCCTGCACAGGCCTTACAGGCAACGAAGGCTCCCAGGTCTCTCACCACAGGCTTCTGCTCACATGTCCGGACCCCCCTGTCACAACCTCACACAGGACTGTGAGG